AGTTTTTTGAAAACTTGTGGACCTGCGCATGGATAGTTGGAGTAGAATGGTGTAAAAATGAGCCTTGTAGCATTGACCAAAGACCATGATACCCTCCATTAACTGGATTGACAGAAGATGATGAAGACAAAAAAGTGGACTGAACAAAACGGCCGATTTGCCGATTTTTTACTTTCCTCTTAGACAAGGTTTAGAGTCACGCTAGTAGTACCAATGGAGTCCTCTGGTCAAGATAAGGTCCTCTAAGAAGTCTGGTAAGCATAGGAGCTCGTTTTCCCGGTATAGCAAGGCTGCAAAAGTCGTGGCAGACATTTTGTTTTGGGATGAATCCTTCTTAGTAACGCTACCGCGTTACTAATACTCATCCTATATAGTCTATACATTGTATTCCTGCTTATATTCACTGTAATAGTCTATACATTGTATTCCTGCTTATATTCACTGTAAATGGTAATTCCTCTTTGAATATATTGATTGAAGATATAGACTTGCACCAAATAATATAGAAAAATCATTAAAATGGTGTCACTGAACTCCTATTAAGAATAACAAATAGAATTCAAGTGATGGTTCAGTATTGTGATGCTTCATGCAGCCTGTAGTAGCAATTTTGCATTGATAAAGTTAAATTTTCGCTAACATGACCTCTTCTATTGGTCCTAGCATAGTTAATACGTACATAAATTTATTGTCCAAGTATAGAAGTGTTTTAAAGACAGGCTATCCATGAATGATTGTCCTTTACATGGATATTTATGGTCCTGTCAGGTCCACATCAGTCCGTCCGTCCGTCCTTTTTGGGCGGGGCGGGTCCGTCCGTCCGTCCGCTTTTGAGACCCTACCATTGGAAACATTAGTAAGAACTTTTACAATTTACAGTCGCGACGCCAACGGTAAGCTCACGTGAATTTTATTTTCCAAGTGACGTCATAATGGCTGCCAAGTGATGGCTAAAGCTGTGTTTAGTTTTGTGCAGTTTACAAGATGGTGGGTAGTCTATAGCTCTAAGAAGCAAACTCAAACTTGAAGCAAAAAGGTATAGAATCAATTGGTTAGTTTTGAGTCTGAAATGTAAATATATTTTGCTTGTTATTGTCGCTGTTTGGAAAATAATGTACACTATCTAGGTATATAATAGTACTGGGACTGGCCAGAACAGCTCAGGATTAGGTATGCAACTGGCCTATCAGTAGATCTTTGTGTATGAAAAGTTTCATTTTGATACTGTTGTCTAGAACGACAGTTGCATCCATAATGTAGATTCAGCCTGCATGGTCCATTCTTTCATGCCATTTTTTGACTGTTCTGTTCCTTTTTTCTACAGATTTCACACTCAGGATCATTAATCAAGTCATTTTACCTCAATAGAATTGTTTGAAATCCTTTTAGAGCTAGATTTTATACTTGTCATTATAGTCATATTATGTGCCATTGACTTTCAGAGACCACAGCATCCTTATTTCTTGCTGGAACAACTTTAAACTTCTGGAGTATATTCTTCTAGCTACTATCTTGTAAGCAAATGGACAAGAAGCTGGAGTTGTCTAGAACACTGTACGCATCCGGTAAAGTCAAGGACATCAGTTGCTTGCAGTTCTGTTATAGTTTATTTAAACTGGTTGATGTTTTTTATGGTGATAAATATGTATGTTCTGTGTATTGTATGCAAATTTCATAGTAAAACTATTAAATGAAAAATAAATATAAAATAAAGTACTGTCAAGTGTATTACAATAAAATTATACAGGCTCTTATGACTTCTGGTACCGTTGGCGTCACGACTGTTTACTGCGGTGCTTACTGAGTGATCTGTGACCATATTGAGATGAGATGATGTGCATGCCTAAGCACCCGGATATCTACTGATGTGACACCAATCACTTCCAGTCAGAAAAATTATTGCAAGTAAACTTCCACTCCATTTAGATATATATATATACTGCTTTCCCATTTCATGCCCACTTTTCCCCCATCACTATTTTGATTACCACATTTCCCCCATCACTATTTTGATTACCATATAGGTAATATTTACGGCTGCTAATATTTGCAATAATAAAAGTGTAATTAAGTACCATGGGAACTGATAGAGCTTTGCTATGACAACAAGACCACGAGCTAATTTTCTGTTCTTTAGCATGCAACTTTAGTGGAGCCATTCACCAATAGCGACTTGTTCTGTTTTTGTTAGCTTCTTGTGTGAACCTCTACCTCCAAGCTCCTTGCTGCAAATTGTTACTGGTCGGTCAGTCATGATAACAAAGCACACATAAACCAATAAGCAATACTAGCTAACTGCAATGGGTGGAGAGTTTCAAGATATC